TTTTTTTTTCTTATTTTCGTGTATGTTGCAGCTACAAATTTCGATTTATACCACTGTGCACTGCTTATCAATTAACGCGTTTAATGTATTTTCCAGGGCATACGACGTCCGTGGAAAGGCGTCCTAATGGTTGGCCCACCTGGCACAGGTAAAACGATGCTAGCTAAGGCTGTGGCCACCGAATGTGGCACCACCTTCTTCAATGTCAGCTCCGCTACGCTCACATCCAAATATCGCGGTGAATCGGAGAAGATGGTGCGTCTGCTCTTCGAGATGGCGCGCTTCTATGCGCCGAGCACAATTTTCATTGATGAGATCGATTCGCTGTGCTCGCGACGTGGCTCCGAGTCGGAGCACGAGGCATCGCGACGCGTCAAATCGGAGCTGCTGGTGCAAATGGATGGCGTGGGCGGCGGCGAGGAGCAGGCCAAAGTTGTCATGGTGCTGGCAGCCACCAACTTTCCATGGGACATCGATGAGGCGTTGCGCAGGCGTCTGGAGAAGCGCATCTATATACCACTGCCCACGGATGAGGGACGCGAGGCGCTCCTCAAGATCAATTTGCGCGAAGTGAAGGTGGACGATAGCGTCGATCTGAACTATGTGGCCAATCAGCTGGAAGGCTACTCCGGCGCTGACATCACCAATGTGTGCAGGTGCGTGTAGAATCTCATCCTGTGCCTTGTTCTTCGATTTTAATTGAAATTCGGCATGTTTTAGGGAGGCAAGCATGATGTCGATGCGGCGTAAGATCGCCGGCCTAACGCCGGAACAAATACGACAGCTGGCCACCGAGGAGGTGGATCTGCCCGTGTCCAATAAGGACTTCAACGAAGCCATCAGTCGCTGCAACAAGAGCGTGTCACGTGCAGATCTGGACAAGTACGAGAAATGGATGAGGGAATTCGGTTCGTCATGATGGCGTTACACTCAACACACAATTTCCATCGATTCTAGGCATCTATTTATATATATACAACTATTTTTTGATAACAATAACAACAACAACAACCACATCCACACACGGATAGTTTAAGTGAAAAACCTTTTAAAGTGTTAAACCGGCCGCAGAGATAATGTTGAACATATTTTATATATAACATTTTGAATATGTATATGTGTATATATGATATATGCATATAAGAACGAAGCGTTGGAATTCAAAAGACTAACAGTAAATTAGAGAGGGAGAGCTAAATATAACAGCAAAACAATTAAAAAGCAAAGCAATCATATATATATGTATGAATATATATATTTATATATTAAGCATGTGCACAGTCCTTCCTAAAAATCCTTTCCATTCATTATACTAAGCCTCTAATCCACATGCCTCCTAGCCCTTGGCTTCATTTAAACTAAGATCTAAATTAGAAATTGATGCGAGTAATTGTTTATCGCTTTATAAATTATTGTCTAATTAATATATCATTTCTATTCTGTTTAATACACACTCAAAAGTTTATGATTAATTTGTAATTAATTCGGTTCGTTTAATTTACGCATTAATTATATTTGTAGTCTTTTAGTTTAAACAGTGAAAATGAGTGAAAATTGTCAATCAGCTGAATGTACTTAAAGATTTAATATTTGAAACAATTTTAAACAATAAACTAGAATACCATGAAGGATTTTTAACTCGAAGAGGGTGTCGCTTTATTAAAACTTAGCTAAGCTACTTTTCCTTGTTCTCTATGTATAAATTTAACACGTAAAATGTAAACAAAGCACTCGGATGAGTCATCCGCGATTGTGATGGCAGCATCTTCGAATTGCGTATGGGTTTTTATTGAAATTATAAACTAGATCCTCGCTCTGGCTCAATAGGGTCTTGATGGCGGCGGCATGGGCATCATTGGGCCCATAACCGGATACGGCACGCCCATTTGTGAGGGCGGGTAGAAACTGCCGATGCCGCCGGCTGTGCCCGGTACATTGGCATAGGCGGGTACACCGCCGCCTGGTCCGCCCGTGCTGTGCCGCTGTGCCTGTTTACGGATCAGCTCCTGCATCTTTTCGGCCTTCAGCTTGCGCAGGTGCATGGTGCGTCGACTGCGGAGAAACTCTTCAACGAAGGCATCCACGTTGAGCTCGTTGCTGGTGAACTTCTTGACGATCTCCTCCGTTTGCTCCTCGCTCTCGGACGCCGCCGTCTGCAGCAGCGCCAGCGCCGTCTCCTGGGAAACGCCACTGGTTTTCTCCTTAATTTGTGTGAGCAGCTCCTGCACGGCGTTGCACCTTGTGCGTCCCTCCTCGGTGAGCTCGGCCAGTTTGCCCCGCAGCTCAATAATCTTTGGCTCCTTCTCGATGTTCTGTTCGGCACGATTGCGATTCTCCTCGCAGAAGCGAACCTTTTGTGTCCTTAGCGATTCGAGCACCTCATCGACTTTTTCGTCCAATTTGTCATCGTTGTTGAGCAGCTCTTTCAGCTCTTCGGAGCTCATCGGAAAGAGCGTTGAATTTAATTGATTTAGATATTCCTGATACATGCTTCTTTGTAGATCTACTCAAACTTTCTTGATTTATATTTTCTGGCTGTGTTTTTGTTAAAAAATTTGTTTTATGTATGTTTGGAGCTAGACAACACTGTTTTTAGTACTAAATTAACAGAGACTACGATATTACAAATTCGTCATACTGCTATTAACATACGCATTTGATTGTCATTTATGTTAACTATACAGTGCTGCCACATAGTTTTTATTCATTTGAATCAATGTTCGCTTACCTGTTTTTTGTAAGTATTGGGTGTTTACATCTCTTAAATGCAACTGTTGCTTATTAACGGATTATTATGTTCTTTCGGTCTCAGATCTAAAGGAAATAGAATTTTAACATTTAACATTTGATGTTACTGTTAGTAACAGTAAAATAATCCTTAATAGGGAGGAGTGATGCCATATAGTTTTTATTCAATACACACGGCGCGCATTTTGTTAAATGTACAAACTATTTATTGCAACAAAGTTGTGTACTATTATTATAATTATTTTATCAAGAGATTATACGTTTGATTTGGCGCATAGATCTGCAGTGGATTTGCTGCATATATGGTCACAGGTAAATTCCATACCATTGTCTCAACGGGCAGTTCAGCTGGCGCTTTTAGCTCTCCAGACTGAGGATTCGGTACGCCAAAGTCCATCATGGTGCTGGTTACAAACTCGAAATGGAGACGCCACTTCACGTCCACCAGATCGGTACGAAATGTGGGCGTAACGTGCAGTGGAATGGGTACAACCACCTGCGTCTGCAGCGTTGAATAACAGACCTGAAAGCAATTCACAAAAATTGGATTATGTTAAGACGGAGAGAGATTTAGCTAGAGAACAACCTGATGCGATGTGGATATGGTGCTCAGCTTGCCCATGGGCTTGGGCTCATCTTTGTTGCGTGCACTGCCCGATGTCTCCGACTTGTGCAGATTATCCACGGTTATGCCGCTGGCAATGCTTGCCATGTCAAAGGAGCTCTGCGAAGCAACATCGTCGCCAGCAGTTGGTGGCGCCTGCTCCGGCTGCGGCCGCAGCGGCAGTTCCTGTTGCTGCAGCTTCACCGAGAACTGGACACAGCGCACTTGACAGTTGTCAAAATCCAGGCTGCCCACAATATCCTCGCCCAGCTTATAGGCGGGCTTGAACAGACAGAAGCGACCAACGAATCCACGCTTGTTCGAGATCCGATAGAACTTCGGAGCACGTCGAGCCGTCACATTCTATATGTGAGCGGAGTAGGAGGAATTAGATTCATTTATAATAGCAGGAATAGGCCGTACTTTTAAATGATGCCACGATATTTCCAGTTCGCTTATCTCGCGCTTCTCCAGAAATGGATTCGTAGGCGTTAGCTCCTCATTGGTCTCCACTGTGACGGGCAGCTCATCCGGTCGAGCTATTAATGGAATGGGCAGCACTCGTATGGGCACGGTCAGCGTCTGCACTTTGGACTTGACACGCTGTGTGGCAATCGTGATCTTATAGAAGTAGCGAATGTCATGGCCGCGATAAGTGGGCGGCCCATCCCGCGGCACAAACTCATTGAAGAAGTCTGCAAATGAAATGGAGTCTTTAATAGTGTCACTTTGATTGCCCAACTTGACGGCCACCCACACATCTTCGTCTCGCCTGGCTGCAGCTTGAGGTCGCAGAAGAGAATCTTCGGTTTGGTTGCTACAATCACTTCACCCGGCGTTTGGGTGACTGCATCCAATGCTGTGCGTCCTATGAGTTCTGCCAGCTCTGCTGTCTTGTCGGCCGACTGTGTGCTGTAGCTGGTCTTTCTATAGCAATGCAGCTGCACCGAGGCCCACGCCAAATTCTCTACGCTACAAATAAACCATTTAAATTGAACTTTTTCCAAATATTTAATATTCGATTTCTTACGTTGATGCTTTGGCATTTCGTTGCTGCTCCTCGCCAAACAGTTTGTGCGTGAATTCAATCAAACATTCAACGCACTCGCCTGTTGCATATATTGCTGAATCTGCACGCACTAATTTTGCTTTAATTTCAATCATTTTAAAGCATAGTTTGTGTTTTTGTTGATAGTTTCTGTTTTGTTTGTGTCGGTTATAACAAAATTATTGGTTTGTTGTACAGCAATGTTTATTCTAATTATCACTAATTATTTCAAATAATTCCTTATTTACTTCTTCATTAATTAATAAATTTGTTTTCAGTGTTTTATTAAAGTCTTGATAAGTTTGATATCGATTGTTGTAGCCTATATTTGCTACAAGCTCATCGATAGGTATCGTGTGTTTACGTTAACGTAACGTAATTAAATTTTTTAAATGAATATATTTGTTTAGTTTACATTATGATTATCTTAGTTAATATTTCTGTTTTGCGAAATCAGAGGTTTAAGGAGCTTAGTTTTATACCAACATTTTACAATAATCACTTAACGGCACGCAACAGTTGTGCGTTCGATAAGTATCGATAAGTATTCTTTTTGCTTTGTGTTTTGATTCGCACCGCCAGCATTGCGTTTCGCTTTGTCGTTCGCATTGAGTTCCAATTCAGACGTCGTCGCTTTCAAACGTGTTACGCGCGTGCTTCGCGCATTGTTCATTTGACAAATTCGTTGAATTTCCAAGAAAAGCAAAAAATTGCACCACGATCAGCGCAACAAGTGTAAAGTTTATGCGTAAATCGTACGAAATCAAAAAAATAGTGAAAATCGAAGTGATTGTGTCTTTTTTTGTATAGCATTTAGGTGCTTTAATAGCCATTCTTTGGCTTGGCCTTCGATCCTAGTGATCTGTGCGTCAAAATGTGCGGCAACAAAGTTAAAAGTTATTTGAGTGCTGCGTTAATTTAATTAAGCGTGGCAATAAATTTGTTGCTAATTTTTGTAGTGTACTGGTTTAAAATTGTTTGTTCATTTATGCCTGGGATTACCTGGACGTGTTCTTATTTGGATTTAAATATCGCGGCGAAACGTCATAAAAGGTAAGTTGTAATTTCCAGCTTTTAATTATTGCCAATTGAGCGTTAAGTGCATTGGTTATTATTAGCGTACCCCTATCAAGAGCAAACAACAATTGCCATGTCCGGCTTAGCAACAACAACAACTGAAACAACAACGCATTCCAACGGCGTCGGCATTTTGCCTACTTATTTTGCTTTTTTATTTGTGGAGAATGTCGGACGCCACCCGCTATACTCTACATTCTTTTTTTAACGTTCTTCTTCATATACTTGCATTCATTGTTGTTGTTGCTGCTTCCATCTGCATAGGTATAAGAGACTACGTTAATTCGGATGTGGTTTTGCGCTTCAAAATCTACAGAAGCAACAACAAGAAAACAATAAGAAAAGGGTGCGTCGACATTCAATGTTGTTGTTTCGCCTTCTTTACTGTGTTTTGCTGCTTTACTTTTTTGCTGTTTCACCTTCGTACATTTCGTACGGTTATCACATCGTACATTTTGCTCTGCTGTTTCGTTGAAGATGTTGCTGGCTGGCTGGTTAGTTGGCTCCCAGCTCTTCAAAGTCTCCACTCACACTCACACTTGCACGCACACGCACACTCGCCCTCACACACACCAATGCAAACAGTTATACCTGTTTTTATTATTTGAGCGCAGCCGCCGCGCTCGCTCGCGGAGCTGTGCACACGGAACTCACTCCATTGGAGCCGAGCGCCGGCGCGACGACTACGACTGGAAGATCGGAATTTTTAGTGCAGCTTTACAGCAGCAAAAAGCAACTCGTTGTTGTTGTTTTTTTTTCTCATTCTTTTGTTGCTGTTGCTATTTTCTTTGACAACAGGTTTATAAATAAGCATACAAACACGCAAGCTCACATTAGTATAGTAGGTTTTACATGCTAGTCAAGTCTACTACGTTTTTCACTATACGCTGCGGTGGGTGTGATGCAGACTACATTTTCAGCATGGCGCATTTGCTATTAGCTACTACTTTTTGTCATTATGTTGTTGTCTTACATGAAGTGCTAATGCAGCCATTTATATGTGTTGCAGAGCTGCAAAAACAAAACGTGAAAAGGGCTTGAATAGAAAAAAAGAATATACAGTGGAATTTATGTATGCATATATATATATACATATTCCTACCTATTTTTGTTGGCGATTTTCGCAGTAAAGTTTGTTTTGCTGCCTTGCTTGAAGTATTGTCTGTTTCTTCACGCTAAATTACAGCTATGCCCGTTTTGGCGCCTTGAAATTTGTCTTTTTTTGCGGACTTTATTTGCTTTGCTTTGCTTTTTGCCCATTGCTCGTTTTGTAAAATGAACTTTGGACTGTGGCTCGTTGCATGACTCATTGCCTGGCTGAAAATAAATTTAGGTTTTGCATTGCCTGCAGCTCTCGAATTTTAGAGTGACAAAAGGTGTAATTATAGACTTAGTCTATGTATTTTGAACATAAATATTGACATACAAACATATTGTATGACCATATATTTCATATCTAGACTGTGCTCATTTCTCTGTAATCTTAGCCTTATCAAAAATGCGACACAAGAGTGGTTCATGTCCCAAAAAAAAAAAAAAAAAAAAAAAAACGTCAAGAGATAAGCCAAATATGTATTGGCCCATAAAAGTACAAAAGTACTGCAAAGACAACAATAACAGCAACAATATCACGGAATATTACAAACAATGCAATTGCATTTAGAGCAAACAGATAAGAATGCCCAACAAAAAAGTGAGTAAACAAAACTGAAATAATTCCAAGAGAATGTGCAAAGCAAATATGAAAAGTCAAACTAAATAAAGAAAAAAGCAAAACACAAACCAAAACAAGTGAAATACAACAACATAAGTGGGCCGAACGAATCCAACAAAAAATGCCCAAGCAGACGGAAAGAGAGAGAGAGAGAGAGAGAGAGAGAGAGAGAGAGAGAAACTGGCACATGTGCGAGTGTGTGTGTGCGTGTGTGTGTAGTTACAGGTGCCAGCTAATCTAATTACGACATAGATTCGGTATCAAATATTTGCCCATTGATAAATAATACATCAAAAGCATATTAGTTAAACGTGTTTGTGTTTGTTTGTGTATGTGTGAAGTACAGAATTGGGGCGCACTTTAGAGTATGCCACATTTATTGGGACACAGGCGCATGCACACACGCATACCAATAAGGCTAACTGCTTTAAAGAATTCCAATATAAGTAGAGCATAATTAATGCGTACTTCTATTTAGCTTTGCTTTGCAAGCAAGACCTTTTTAGCGTGCCCAAATTTGTGTTTTTTTTTTTTTTTGCGATTTACTTTTATTTTTATTTACATATTTATTATAAATATTTCATTTTTTTATTTTTACTTTTATTTATTTATTTTTAGTTCAGTTTTTATTTCATTAAATTTTTTTTTTATTAATATTATTTTTTAATTCATACTATAGTTGCTGTTCTTTGTCTAAGACGCATTTAGCTCTAAGCCTTAACTAATGTGTGGGCCAGTATTCCAGTATATATACATATATTATTTCTTCACTCTCAACTTATTTATTGCCAATTCTATGATATTCTGTAGTTTGAGTTTAGTTGATTCCTCAACGATTATTATTTTGCGCATTTGCGCCTATTTCTCAATTCGTAATTGGAGTCTCGCAGAATGTTTATTTTTGGGCATATGCAACGGATTTCTGTTGCCTCTTGCCTTTTGCTTTTGTTTACTTTTGCTTTCGTTTTGGCATCGTTTACGGTATCAGAATTTGGAATTGGAATCGGCATCGCTGACGGCTTATTGTTTTTTGCACAAATTATAGTTTATTATGCTTTGGCCTTAGCTGGAAATACGAGCTTTTCGGCGGCGCAGCTGTTGCTGTTGTTGCTGCTGCTGCTGCCGTTGCCTTTTGCTTTTAGCTGTTCTATAAACAAATTGGAATTTCAAATTGCGTTCAATTCGTGCGAAATGAAAAATAATAAGTAGGCAAACAAGAGAAAAACGAACGGTTTCCGTTTATGAAACGTAGAAATTTATTGGAAGAGAGAAAGGTTGAGACGGTTTATCGTAAAGAACGATCTATTGATTGGAAAAATTATAAGGAAGTTTGATAAAAAAGTTTTGAAAATTTTTTATTTATTTTTTTAATAATGGAAACGATTTCTAAAAATAAGTATATATGGGCTAATATCAGAAATTGTGTATATGTAAAAAAAAAACTCTACTAAATTTATTTTCTATATAAATTTATTTTCTATATCTATATATATATTCTACAATATTATCTACTAAATATTATATAAAAATGGTTTTCTATATCAGTTCCAAAAATATATATGAAAAAGGAAAAGGAGCACCAAATGGATTAGACATTTGGGTTGATTTAGTGCGGTCAGTGCCACGCCCATTGCCGCCCCTGCTGACTGGAAGCTGGAAACCCGTTTCGCAAATCGTATGCGCCAACAGCGAAACTTGTTTTTTTTCCATACATTTTGTTTTTGTTTTTCTACTGCCTGACCGTGATTTTGAGCTGAATGTTTGTCCATGAGCTATTGTCCGAGTCCCGATCTATATACTTATATGTATATACATATATACATCGTATGTGTGTAGCACACATAAAGTTCCACTTTATTTGCATTTTGTGTGCGGTTTCATGCATTTCCAAAGATCTACGACAGCTTGTGCTTTCCACCATCTCGTCTCGTCTCGCCTCGACTCGATGTGCCTCGTCTTTGGCGTGTGAGAAAGTTGTTGACCAAGCAAACAACGACAACAGCTTTTAGTGAAGTGCGGGGCACTAGGGTGGAGGGAGGTGGAAACACCGCAATTGCACAAACAACGCCCTCATCCATTCGAGTGACTGCCCAGTATAGCAAAGTGCTGCATGCAATTCATGAAATTCATTTCCAGTTCCCACTGTAGGATAGACCCTCTCCTATCTCGTTCTCTCTTTCTCCCTCTTTGTAGCCGCTGCGGTCGAGTCTCTTCCCGCACATTCCACACACATAGACTCACAGGGCTCACGTTACCTACAACAACAACAGCATCGGCTCAAAGAGCTCCCAGTTCCATCTGAACGGACAGAAAGAAGAGAACTCCTCTCTGCGTACATAACCGGGATTATTGGCATATGTAACAAAGAATGAGCTACTACAATCGGAGAATCCCTAGATATTGTAGGAAATGCTATTATAGTCATGGAAAATATATTTAGCATGTAGTATAACAGAAGCCTAATGAGGGAAATGCTTGGATGTTATGCTTGTAGTAAGGTATTTGTTTAATTTAAATAGCATAGATAACTGGCAATGCCGATTAAGAATTATTATGTCTTGTAATATATATGACGAATAGAGATTGTTTAGAAAACTCCTCTTAACTTGTTAGACCACTTTATTTTCTAGAAGTTAAATTTTTTACAATTGAAATGAAAATCTGAAGTTGTTGGCATAGTCTTACTATCTATATATTGTATTTGTAAATTTATATATTTAAAAAAAATTTTTTTTTTTTTTTTTTTATATATATTTAGGAATGAAATTGCTTTGAAAGCCATTAGCAATCAGTTCACAGCTAAGCAAATGGAAATCTTTGACAGAAATCTCTATATATCTATTATTGGCCTGGTTCTCTAGCAGGGAACAACATCATCAAGAGGAGGGGTTTTCATTTCTTTTTTTTTTTTGGGTAGGTTGAGTCAGGCACTCGAAACTCATAATCGAAACATTTGCTTACAAATACGATTCGCGCTGACTTTTCATATTCATCTCTCGGTATGCGCAGTGGCGCATGATTGATTGATGGATCGATTGATGGACAGAAGTGTGCGAGACAAAGGTGCGACAATGCCCAACAAGGAGCAACAACACACTGTGCAACAGGGTGCGCTTGCTTGGGCATCTTCTTGAATGACTGACTGTACTTTTATTTTATTTGATTCAGCTCTGGAATGCTGCCCTCAAATTGTCAATTGGTATAATTCATAAAACTGAAACTGAACGGCTATTCCAGCACTCACACACTCACCACGTTCTGC